AAGAAGACACTGTCGCAAATGATTTCCTCTGTTTAGAAACATGTGATTGCTCAGGAAACCAGACAAAGTTTTTCAGGAATTACTTTGATTCCCAGAGTATGCCCTGTCATTGTTATTACCGGTGAAATAATTGCCATCCTAGGGGAAGGTGAGGTCACAGGATCACTACCTCATATCCCATCCTTGGCTGCCTCCTTCCACAAACCACTGTGGGAGTATCATCCAGACCCACTGTCCTGACAGCAGGAAGTAGTCAGGTGAGCATTTTATAGTTTGGTCTTTGAGGCACAGTTTGCAAGCAAGGAAGTGGGTCAGGAGACAGGACAAGAGGAGGAGAGCGAGGCAGGACGGAGAGGCACGCAGGGTCAGGGTTCAGCAGAGAGGCCCCAGGTCTAGATTCTGAGCAGAGCGATGCCGCACAAGCGTATTCTCGAAGCAGACAACGTGGGTGGTCAGGTAACGTGGGTTAGGGGTGAAGGAGCGTTTTGGAAAGCTGGATGTCCCAGGGGGGACCCCAGATAGGATTCACCAGGTTCGCCTTAGTTTTAAATAACTCCCACCTCTCTGTCCATGTTTACAGAAGTAATAGGGTCGGGGAAACTGTGTACTTCTTGTGTCTTGAGTCTGTCACATATCACCCCACCCCATCATAGTCACCCCCACAGTGCACAGACACACCCACACGCGCAGGGAGCAAGGAGCCACACTTGGGTGCATGCCCAATGTTGACCAGCAGAGGGCGCCATCACCATCCAGCAATGAGCTCTTAAAGAACCGGTCCAAGGCAAATGGGAACTAGAAAAGATCATCCTGAGTGAGGTATCCTAGAAGCAGAAAGACACACATGGTATATACTCACTCGTAAGCGGATATTAGACATATAATATAGGATAAACATACTAAAATCTGTACACCTAAAGAAGCTAAGCAAGAAGGAGGACCCTGGGTAAGATAACCAAACCTCATTCAGAAAGGCAAACGAGATAGACATCCAAAAAGGGAGAAAACAGACCGCAAGACAGGAGCCTACCACAGAGGGCCTCTGAAAGACTCTACCCATCAGGGTATCAAAGCAGATGCTGAGACTCATAGCCAAACTTTGGGCAGAGTGCAGGGAATCTTATGAAAGAAGGGGGAGATAGAAAGACCTGGAGGGGACTGGAGCTCCACAAGGACAGCAACAGATTCAAGAAATCTGGGGCCCAGGGGTCTTTTTGGAGACTGATGCTCCAACCAAGGACCATTCATGTAGATAACCTAGAACCCCTACTCAGATGTGGCCCATGGCAGCTCAGTTTCCAAATGGGTTCCCTAGAAAGGGGTCCAGGGGCTGTCTCTGACATGAACTCAATGGCAGGCTCTTTGATCAGCTCCCCTTGGGGGATGCAGCCTTGCCAGGTTACAGAGTAAGATGATACAGCCATCCTTGGTGAGACCTGATAAGCTAGGGTCAGATAAAAGGGGTGGAGAGCCTCTCCTATTAGGGGAGTAGAGAAAGAGCATAGGGGGAGAAGAGGGAGGGTGGATGGGACTGGGAAGAGTCAAGGGAGGGGGCTGCAGTGGGGATACAAAGTGAATAAATTGTAATAAATAAATATATAAATAAAATTAAATAAAAAAGAATTATTTGTATATGTGCAGGTGAGGGTAGGTACCAATAGAGGTCAGAGTTCAGATGTCACTGGAGCCAGAGGGAGATGTCAGCTCTTTGATGTGGGTACTGGAACCCACACTCATCTCCTCTGTAAAGTAGTATGTACTCTTAAGTGCTGAACCATCTCCTCAACATGGTTTTTCCCCTGTACTGGGGATTGAACAATGTTATAGCTGTTTGGTTAAGTGAACTACCTCTGAACCATTAACCCCTTACAGATTTTATTAGAAAAAAAATTGCATTCAATAATTATCTGAATTGTATTATTAGGTGATTTTTATTTTCCTTTTCTTGTATTTTCTTTGAGACAGGGTCTCATGTACCTTAGGATACCCTCTAACTCTCTAGCTTCTTGAAATTCTGATTCTCCTGCTTCCACCTCCTAAATGCTGGGGTTACGGAATGTGCCACCACACATTTATGCTGCGCTGGGGATCAGACCAGGAATTTGTGTTTGCCAGCAAGGCACTTTATTTGGTATGTTTGTTTGTTTATTTACTTGGTTTTTTTGAGACAGCGTTTCTCTGTGTAGCCTTGGCTGTCCTGGACTTGATTTGTAAACCAGGCTAGCCTTGAACTCACAGAGCTCTGTCTGCTTCTGCCTCCCTGAGTGGTGGGATTAAAGGCGTGTGCCATCATGCCTGGCTAAAGGCACTTTATTTTCTAAGCTATACTCCTAGACCTTACTTGGTGATATTTTCTATGCTTCCAAAAATTCTATTCACAGACTCAATGTTCATGTCGTCGTGCCATCCAGACTCAGTGTTCAGATCGGTACTGTGGAAAGTTGCTCAGGGAACAGGTTTTATTTTCATATTATGTGATTTGTTTCACTGTATTTAACAGTGCTGACATTGAAACACTTTCATTTGATGTTTCCCCATTCATAAAACTGCTAATTTTCTGTATAGCTCTGGTTAGTTAGTTTTGTTATGCCAGGATCATGGGATCCTCAGAGACCACCAGGAGACGACTCGATGCAAAAGCAAGACAGCTTTATTTCGAGACAGATTGAACTCGGGACCCAAGTCTCACTGATGCAGCAGTAGAGAAGTGGGACCCTGAGCTCTGAGTGAGCAGGGGTTTTAAAGGGAAAAACTGAAAGCAGGGGGTTTCCATGTCAGCAAGCAGGGGTGTTTATGCCTTGACGTTACAGGATTGGGTAAAAACCATAGGGGCAAGGTGACCTTCTACATAATCACAATTGCCATTCTTCTAAACTTCATCTGGAACGTTGGGGAGAATTTTCCCAACTGATTCTCATTAATTATTGCCAGGGATATTGTCTCTCTTTTCTATGAAGTATTTATTCTGTGATATTTCCTGGAGGCTGTTGCTAGGAGAGTTAACTTTGTTTTCTGCCAAGTGCATATTCTGTGATATTTCCTGGTACCTGAGTTCAGCTCCTGGTCAAGATGGCTCCTCATTTCAAAATGGAGTCACCCAGGCTAACTTAAACTCTTCAGTTTCTCCTGTGCAGTAATTTACCTTCTACCCATGATTTGTATACCTCTGTTTGGCATGTGGTCATTTCACTGGGTGATTTATCTTGCTGTTGAAGAGTTTAAGTTAGCCTGGGTATAGTGAGCCTGAGTATGACTCCAGGTACCAGGAAATATCACAATATGTACACTTGGCAGAGAACAAACTTAACTCTCCTAGCAACAGCCTCCAGGAAATATCACAGAATAAATACTTCATAGAAAAGAGAGACAATCTCCCTGGCAATAATCAATGAGAATTGGTTGAGAATCAGCTGGGAAAATTTTCCCTAATGTTTCAGATATAGTTTAAAAGAATAGCCATTGTGATCATATGTCTTAGGCAACTGTGCCTCAGAGAGGCATAGGCCTTAGGTAATTATGATTCAGAGAAGGTCACCTTGCCCCTCTAACTTTTACCTAATCCTGTAACATCAAGGCATATGCCCCTGTTTGCTGTCATAGAAACATGTGGCCCCCTGTTTGCTGTCGTGGAAACTTCCTGATCACAGACTTTCCCTTTAAAAACCCTGCTCACTCAGGGCTCAGGGTCCCACTTCTCTACTGCTGCATCAGTGAGACTTGGGTCCCTTGTTCGATCGCTCTCATAATAAAGCTCTCTTGCTCTTGCATCGAGTCGTCTCCTGGTGGTCTCTGAGGGTCCCGTGAACCTGGCATTACACTATCTTTCTCTTTTGGAAAAAATACTATTTTATTACTTCTTTGAGAATTTTGTGTAATGTATTTTGATCATATTCACCACCACATTCTATCCCATTTTATACTCACCCAACTATTTTTGTCCTCATTTTTTAAATCCACTAAGTCCCATTACTACTGTCTTTATATTATACTTTTAGGTGTATGGCCATCCACTGGAGTATGGTCAGGGTATAGCAGGGGCCATACCCTTAAAGAAGACCGGCTCCTCCTTTCCCAGTAAAGATTACTTGCAAATAACACCTCAGTTAGGGGTGGGATTTTGTGTCTATTTCAGTCCTTCATGATGAGATTTTGTCTGGCTTGAGCTTGCACAGGCCTTTTGCATGCTGTCACAACCACTGTGAGTTCCTATGTGCAACTGCCCTGTTATGTCTAGAAAACATAATTTACTTATTTCTTTATTTGGTGTGTGTGTGTGTTCATCACAGCACAGATGTGAAGGCCAGAAGATAACTTGTAGGAGTTGGGCCTTTCCTTCCACCATGTGGGTCCTTGGAATGAAACTTGGGTTGTCAGGCTTGGTAGCAAGTGCCTTTACCCACTGTGCCATCTGTGCCATCTCACTTGTATGGAGGTGACTTTACAAACACTGTCCAGCTTTTCTGTGCCTAATTCTCTTCACTTGTAGAGTGGAGATAGTTGACTTGATGGAACTGTTGTAGAATTTATATGTAAAGCTGTAATTGAATCTTACATGTATTTATTTTACAAAATACTGATGCACTCATTACTCATTATATGATTTTCTTTTTAAAACTAAACTCTTAGAGAAAGAAAACATGGATCTAACATGGAGCATCTGAAAAATAGCAAAGCAGCTCAGCAGATAAAAGCACTTGCTATTCACACCTGACAACCTGTGTTCCTTCCCAGAGTCCATGGTAGAAGGAGAGAGCTGACTCCTGAAGGATGTCGTCTGATCTCCGTACAATGCTATGGCTCCTGCGTGCCTTTACATATCCTCAAGAGAGTAACAGTGGCAATAGTGATAGTAATAGCAATATGCAATAGACAATGTCTGAGTGGGACACAATGGTGAGCAGGCAGTAGTGCATTTCATTGTTTCACATCACACAGACCTAGTGAAGGATCCTGTCACTCTGAACAGGACTATGAGTCACTCTATGGACTTGGCAGTAGCGATGATCTTCCTACATCAGACCATAGTTGATCTTTTGGGGAACTTCCTTCTTCTCTGCTCTTACAATTTGCATCGATTCATGAGAGGTGAAGTCAGGTCCACAGATTTGATTGTCCAGCACCTGACTGTGGCTAATTTCTTGGTTATACTCACTAAAGGAGTACCACAGACGATGGCTGCTTTGGGGATGAAGCATTTCCTCTATGATACAGGCTGCAAACTTGTCTTTTATGTCCACAGAGTGGCCAGCGGTATGTGCATGGGTAGCACCTGCTTCTTGAGTGTCTTCCAGGCCATCACCACCAGCCCCATGACTTCTATATGGAAAAAAGTGAAGCGGCTAGCTTCAAAATACATGGGGATCATCAATATCTTGATCTTGTGTTGGATAGTGAACATGCTGCTATATGTCATTGTTCCAATGGGTGTCACCAGCAAGCAGAATGACATAGAGAAAATGGATTTTGGATACTGTGAGGCAGTTAGTAACAGAGTCGTATATCCAAATACATCTCATATTGTGGTCATCCTATGATGTGTTGTGCTTGGGGCTCATGATCTGGTCCAGTGGCTCCATGATCTCCATCTTGTACAAGCACAAGCAACATGTTCAACACATCCACAGCACCAACTACTCCCCTAGATCCTCTCAAGTCCAGAGCTACCCAGGGCATCCTTGTCTTAGTGAGCACTTTTGTACCATCGTACATCCTCTCCTCTGTCTTTTCATTAACTTTGGCTCTTTTCTATGGTTCCAGTTTGTGGCTGGTGAAGATCTCTTCTCTAGTGGCTGCTTGTTTTCCTACAGCCAGTCCTTTCATTCTTTTTTAAAAATTCTTTATCAATTACACTTTATTCACTTTGTATCCCCCCTGTGGTTCCCTCCCTCCTCCTGTCCCAATCCCTCCCTTCCTCCACCCTCTGCATGCATGCCCCTCCCCAAGTCCACTGATAGGGGAGGTCTTCTTTTCCTTCCTTCTGATCCTAGTCAATTAGGTCTCATCAGGAGTGGCTGCATTGTCTTCTTCTGGTAATGCTGCTTTCCCCTCAGGGGGAGGTAATTAAAGAGCAGGCCAATCAGTTCATGTCAGAGGCAGTCCCTGTTCCTATTACAATGAAACCCACTTGGATACTGAACTGCCATGGGCTACATCTGTGCAGGGGTCTTAGGTTATCTCCACGCATAGGCCTTGGTTGGAGTATCAGTCTCAGGAAAGATCCCTGTGCTCAGATTTTTTGGTTCTGTTGCTCTCCTTGTGGAGTTCCTGTCCTCTCCAGATCTTACTGTTTCCCACTTCTTTCCTAAGATTCCCTGCATTCTGCCCAAAGGTTGCCCATAAGTCTCGGCATCTACATTGATAGTCTGCAGGGCAGAGCCTTTCAGAGGTCCTCTGTGTCAGGCTCCTGACTTGTTCCCTCTTTTCTCCTTCTTCTGATGTTCATCCTCTTTGCCTTTCTGGATAGGAATTGAGCATTTTAGCAAGAGTCCTCCCTCTTGATTAGTTTCTTTAGGTGTACAGACTTTAGTAGGTTTATCCTATATTATATGTCTATATGAGTGAGTATATACCGTGTGTGCCTTTCTACTTCTGGGATAGCTCACTCAGGATGATCCTTTCCAGATCCCACCATTTACCTGCAAATTTCATGATTTCCTTGTTTTTATTGTTGAGTAATATTCCATTGTGTAGATATACCACAACTTGAGCATCCATTCCTCCACTGAGGGGCATCTGGGCTGTTTCCAGCTTCTGGCTATTACAAATAAGGCTGTTACAAACATGGTTGAGCAAATGTCCTTATTGTGTACTTGAGCCTCTTTTGGGTATATGCCTAGGAGTGGTATAGCTGGATCTTGAGGAAGTGCTATTCCTATTTGTCTGAGGAAGTGCCAGATTGCTTTTCCAAAGTGGTTGCACAAGTTTACATTCTCACCAGCAGTGGAGGAGGGTTCCCCTTTCTCCACAGCCTCTCCAACATGTGTTGTCACTTGAGTTTTTGATCTTAGCCATTCTGACGGGTGTAAGGTGAAATCTTAGGGTTGTTTTGATTTGCATTTCCCTTATGACTAAGGACGTTGAACATTTCTTTAAGTGTTTCAGCTGCTCTTCGGTAGATGCTGGAATCCCACAGAAGTAGACACTAATACCAGTGAAGGAATAGACTTCTTAAAGAGAGAGAGAGAAAAGTAGACCTTCCCATTTCAAATGATTTAACTAAGCTAAAATTCCTCACAGGTGTGCCTAGACATTTTTAGGTTTGAGTTAATTCTAGATATAGTCACCTTGACAACCTAGAATAGCCATCACATCTGTTGAGTCATCTTCCTGGGCATAATTTTCAAACATTTTTCTGTTTTTTACTTTTCTTTGAAACAGGGTCTCACTCGGTAGCCTTGATGGTCCTGGAACTCATTATGTAGACCAGGCTGGCCTTGAACTAAGTGCTGGGATTAAAGGTTTGTGTCACCACAACTGGCTGCCATTTTTTGAAAAACTTGTAGATCCCTTCTATGCTACAGAAGTGTTATAACCCCAAGGAGCAGTTATGAAACAGCCCGTGTCAGACACAATGACTTTACAGTGAGTTTTGCCAGATGGAGCTGGAAGGGAAATTATTTTGAGACATTACAGGGTATTAATCACCAGATATTGCTAGTTTACATAGAATAGTAGAAAAAGAAAGTCATTAGAAATGTTTTAGAGCAGTGGTTCTCACCCTTCCTAATGCTGAGACTAATATAGCTCCTCATGTTGTGGTGACCTCCAACCATAACATTTTTTTCATTGCTACTTCATAACTGTAATTTTGATGCTGATATGAATTATAACATAAATATATGATATCTCTGATGGTCTTTGGTGACGCCTGTGAAAGAGTCATTTCATGGCTGGAGAGTTGGCTCAGTGTTTAATAACACTGGCTGCTCTTCCCGAGGACCTGGGTTCAATTCCCAGCACACATGGCAGCTCACAACTGTCTGTAGCTCCAATTCCAGGAGACCTGACACCATCACAGACACATTTGCAGCCAATGTATGGAAGAAAAGAGCAATGCACATAAAATAAAGATATATAACAACCCAGATGCCCCTCAACTGAAGAATGGATACAGAAATTGTGGTACATCTACACAATGGAATATTACTCAGCAATGAAAAACAAGAAAATCATGAAATTTGCAGGTAAATGGTGGGATCTGGAAAGGATCATCCTGAGTGAGTTGTCCCAGAAGCAGAAAGATGCACACGGTATATACTCACTCATATAGACATATAATACAGGATAAACCTACTAAAATCAGTACACCTAAAGAAACTAATCAAGAGGGAGGACTCTTGCTAAAATGCTCAATTCCTATCCAGAAAGGCAAAGAGGATAGACACTAGAAGAAGAAGAAAACAGGAAACAAGTTAAACTGGGAAACTTTTAAAAAGCCTATTTTGTATTGTTCTTTGAGAACTTTGTTATTTGATCATATTCACCTCTTCTTTAATTCTTTCTAAATCCTCCTCCCTTTCCCTACCTATACAACTTTGTGCCCTTATTAAAACATGAACTCAAATTTGTGCTGTCCATATCCCTTGGATGAGTGACCAACCAGTCGAGCGTGGTAGACCTACCAATGGTCACACCCTTAGATTAAAGCAACCTTCTGCCAGCAGCCAGCAGCTGCCAATAGCTACAGCTGCCAGCAGCTACAGGTGAGACATTGTGCCTACATCCCCTCTGCATGCTGAGATTTTAACTGACTTGAGCTTGCACAGGTCTTCTGTAGGCTCTTATAACTACTGTGAGTTCATATGTACAACTGCCATGTTGTGGCCAGAAAATACTGTTTCTTTGTAGTCATTCATCATCTGCCTTTTATATCTTCCCACACCCTTTTTTTCTCAATTATTCCTGAGCCTTGGGAGAAAGGGTGTGATATAGATGTACTATTTAGGGCTGAACATTCTGCAGCCTCTTATTCTATTCACCTTGACAAGTTGTGGGCCTCTATGTTAATCACATCTACTGCAAAAACTTCTGTGATGAGAGTTGAGACAAATTAATCTATGGATATAACTATAAGGCATTCGGAGTCAATTCAATTCTATGTTTATTTAGTAGATCAATGGTAGTAGATAACCTCGTAGGACATATGGCCTATACACAGGATCTTGGTCTGTTAATGGTGCCAGGTATGAGTTCTATTTTATGGAGAAGGTCTTAAATCCACCAAAAGAATATGCTTCCCTGCTCCCATGACATTTATGCCAATATCACACTAGTGGGCATGTCTTGCCAAGCAGGTCATTTTTGTTGCCTTCAGAATTCATATCTAAGTAGGAATGATTATTGCTTTTCTTCTTCAGTATTATTATAGCATCTTCCACCACCATTAACTGGAGTCAGTAGGAACAAACCTTCCAGGTCAGTACCAGCTTGATATCTCTGTGTTCTGTGACTCAAGATTGTGATATCTTCAACAATAGGTTCTTACTGTTAGAGGACAACCAAAAACATTGGCAATAGCCTGTAATGTTTTGGGCATTAATGAAATCTCACTGGCCAACAGTCTCCAAAGAGCTAATTCATGTTTGGCACTGGTGCTTTTAGTTGTTAAGCTATGATATCAAGAAAGGGTACTGCCATTCATTTATAGTGTAACTTCAGAACTATTTATTTATTTAACATGTATGTTTTTTCTGCATGTATGTCTATGCACCATGTATGTGTCTAGTGCTCATGGAGGCCAGAGAAGGTGTTAGACATCTTGGAAATGTTAACTTCCATATGAGTGCTGGGGATGGAATCCAGGTAATCTTGAAGAGCAGCCAGTGTTCTGCATTGAGCCATCTCTCAGGCCTCCCATGCCCACTTAAACTCTCGTTATGTGTGTGCACATATATTTAGGAAACTTTGACAGTATCAGATTTCCATACAACTTTTTCAGAAGTTCTGTAGTGTTAGTTATTTTCTTCTTTATTTTCTCCTCTGTCCTCCCATTTCACATTCCACTTAACCTTATATATCATTGTATTATACCTCTCCTGCCTTGAAAGTGTGTCCCCTATCACTAATGACCCCTTAATAGTTTCCTAATCTCTATGTGTATTACAAAAGAAATACACACATTTGAAGAGTCAAAGCTAACATCTATAAATGAGAAAACATGTGATGTTTGTCTTTCTGGGTCTGCATTACCTCACTCAGAATGAGTGTTTACAGCTCGATCCATTTACCTGTTGTCTTAGTCACTGTTCTATTGCTGTGAAGAGACACCATGGCCAAAGCAACTCTTTTAAAATAAATCATTTAATTAGTTCATTATTTTCATGGCATGGCAGCAGGCAGGCATGGTGCTGGAGAAGTAGCTGAGAGCTACATCCTGATCCTCAAGCAGAGTGAGAGAGAGAGAGGGATAGAGAGAGGGATAAAGAGAGAGACAGAAAGAGAAAAAGAGAGAGACAGAGATTGGAGACTACCATGGGCTTTTAAAACCTTAAAGGCCACCCCCAGCAACTCACTTCCTCCTACAAGGCTATACTATACTACTCCAACAAGGCTATACCTAATCCTTTTCAAATTGCTTTGCTATCTGATGATTAAGCACTCAAATATATGAGCCCTTCAGGGCCATTCTTATATAAGCCACCACACCTGTGAATTTCATAATTGTATTTTTCTTAACAGTAGAATAATATTCCAATGTGTAAATATATGACATGCCTAGAATATACAAAGAACTAAAAGAAAAAAATCTAAAGATCAAGAAAATAAACAACCCTATTTAAAATTTAGGGCATAGAACTGAACGGTTCTCTCTCTTGTGATTTTTTTTGATACAGGGTTTCTCTGTGTAGCCTTGGCCATCCTGGAACTTGCTTTGTAGACCAGGCTGGCCTCAAACTCATAGATACATCTGCCTCTGACTCTCTAGTGCTGGGACTAAAGATGTGTGTCATCATACCTGGCTAAAGATTTCTCAAAAGATTAAATACAGGGGCTAGAGAGATGGCTCAGCAGTTAAGAGCACTGGCTGCCCTTGCAGAAGACCTGGATTTGGTTCCCAGAGCCCACATGGTAGCTTATAACCATCTGTAGCTAAGCAGTTTCAGGGGATCTCATGTCCTTTTCTGAGCTCTAAGGTCACCAGGTACTCATGCAGTGCATATCCATATATTCAGGCAAAACACTCATACACATACGTAAATAAATCCAAGAAATAAAGATGACATAAATAGCTAAAAAGCATTTAAAATGTTCAACATCCTTGGCCATCAGGTAAATGTCACTTAAAACTGTTTTGAGAATGCATCTTACCCCAGTCAGAATGGCTAACCAAATGATGGCAAAATCTGGCATAGATGTGGGGAAAAGGCAGTACAAAAAGGCACAGCCACTATGCAAATCAGGGTGGAGGTTCCTCTAAAGCAGCAGTTCTTAACCTGTGGGTCACAACTCCTTTGGGCTTTGAATAACCATTTCATAGGGGTCACCTATGACCATCCTGAATATCAGATGTTTACATTATGATTCATAAGAGTAAGCGGGGCATGGTGGTACACACCTTTAATCCCATTAGCTGGGAAGGCAAAGACCGGCAGATCTCTATGAGTTCAAGGCCAGCCTGGTCTACAAAGTAAGTCAGGGACAGCCAAGGATACACAGAGAAACCCTGTTTGAAAAAAAAAAACCCACAATGATTCATAAGAATTACAGTTATAGAATGGCAAGGAAAAGAATGTTATGGTCGGGGGTCAGCACAACACGAAGAACTGTATTAAAGGTCACAGCATTGGGAAGTCTGAGAACCGCTGCTCTTAAGTTATAGAGCTACCACAGAAGCCAGAACAGCCAGGGCTACACAGTAAGACCCTGTTTCAAAAACCAAATAATTAAAAAAATAAATGAAGAGAACAGTTCAAAAAATTTTTTTATGCAAGATACACATTTTAGTGTACGGGCAACTCAACTGGCTTCCCTTCAGAGTCCTAGCAATGTCTTAAGTCATCACCTGCCAGTGCCTCCAGGTGCACCAGGTGTGTGGGGGAGGGCAGTGTTGGTAAAGGACCTGCCTGCCCCTCCAGCTCTCTTGGTTTCCCTTTCTCTGTCTCTCAATTTCTCTGTTTTTCCCTCTGTCCCCACGTTTTCTTTCTCTGTTTTTTTCTGTCCTCATGGATCTGTCCCTGTCTGTCTACATGTCCAATCATCTGCTTCTACCTCTCCTCCTGGAGGCCCTAACTTTTCTTCCCTTATTTCCCCCAAATAAACTTCCTTATACTAGATGTCATGTGGCAAAATCATATGTTATAACATGAATAATATTTTGAGTTTTCTAATTACACACTTCAAAGGAAAAAATTATAAAAAAGAATAAAAATATTTATAAAATAATCTATAGACTATAAACTAGTTCAATGTTCAAGGACAGCCTGGTGTACATAGTGAGTTCCAGGAAAAGCCAGGGCTACCTCACTGTCTCAAAAAATAGAACAAACAGATATAAAATAAACATTTTTAAAGTATAAAATAAAAAAATCTTTGAAAAGTTTATCTATTATCTATTTATTTATCTGTCTGGCTATCTACCTATCTTTGTGTGTATATATATGCTCAGGTTTGCAAAGTGTGTGTTTGTGAGTTTGTGAACTCATGTGGAGGTCAACAAGACCAGTTTTTATTTTACAAGTTCCAAAGCATTGTACTTTAAATAGAAAATAAATATGAAAATTGTTGAATTGGTATGGATGTAGTTTTTATTGAGACAAAATAGTAATGTACATTGAAAATGTACAAATTGTGTGACCATGTCAAGGCCTCAAGAAACACATGGCTTCCAACTTATCACCCAAATCATTAGAGACTCATCTGTTGATGAAAACATCTGGCTTATCAGTCACCAACTTCTCTTTGAAAACAGGTAATTCTCAGTACTTGTATGGAAGAAATAAACTGTGAAATAATTTTATTAGTGTTCATCAATAAAAATGGGCAGAAAATGGGGTAGAATAATGATATAATTACAGTAATTGCCCCCAGGCTTGGCATTCTTTCATATATACAAAACCCAGGAAGGGTGATGAAGTTATTCAACAAATAAAATAATACAAAGCAGCTTACCAGCATCAAGATGCTATGAGTGGCTCTTTGTTCAGGAGATGGATGGGAGGAGATGCTTGGGCTGTGGAGATGCTGGGTTCTCTTGCGGTGTCTGTAGAGGAGAGTCATCATGTAAAGACTGGTCCACATCATGATGGCCAAAAAGAAGATAGCTCTTATCATGATAATACTCAGGAACAGTTCTAAGTTGTGGTACTCAGGTCCTCTGCGTTTACAGTAAGGATGATAATATCCCAAATCAACATCAGTGTAATTGATTTTTGCTATCGCACTCTCAATGATGTGCACATATATGAGTAAGTTGATGAACCAGGAAAACAGGAAGGAGCGAAAAGTCCATGTAGAGAGTTTAGGCTTAAGCAATGACCATTTAGAATTACTGGGAGTGATGGTGATGGCTTGGAATGTGCTTAGAATAGAGGTGGTGCAGATGGACAGACCCTGGGTGACTCTGTATACATATAAAATGGCCTTACAGCCAGCATCATCTAAAAAAATGGGTACTCCAAAGGATGACATGATATATGGTATGAGAGGGAATATGATCGTCAACATATTGACTATCATTAGGTGCATGTAAATGGCATCAATAGGTGTGCTAAAGTGAGCTTTGATTAAGAAGCTGTAAACATACACCATGAGGAACGATGAGTTTCCTATGACACCCACACAGAGCTCGGATATGAAGATAACGCTCAAGATGGAGTTGCTTGGAAACATCATGTCAGTGACACTTTAGATATTATTTGGCTTGTGTCTCCTTTAGTGAAAACCACTCAGACTGAATTATAAAACTAATTATTTACTGATGTTTGTAGGAAAATATACTGATTGGCATTTCAGGAGGAAGGAAGATTGGTATTTCAGGTGGTACCTCTGGGAACCAAATTCCAGGGAGGCTTGAGAACCTCAGAGGATAGAAGGTGTTGAAACAGGTAGGTTCAAAGCAAAAATCTTCTGAGTGCTGTTATATTAAGAAGCAAGATCTGTTAACGACCTGAAAGGCAAATCTGCATGTTATAAAGAGGTTTTTATTCAGTAGATCACAGTATATATATTCTTTTTATTATTATCATCATCATTTATTACAGTTTATTCAATTTATATCCTGGCTGTGCCGCCTTCCCTCATCTTCTCCCAATTAAAACCCCGTTTCAAGTTCTAATCTTTCCCAAGAAGATTGTGTAAAACACAGACAGTAACATACATATTTGAACGTCTTTAGAGTTTCAATTGCACCCAAAATTCTTCCAAAGTATTTATATTTAAATTCTCAACAGAGTGGCCATAGAGACGGCTTAGCAGTGAAGAGCACTAGTTGCTTTTCCAGAGAACCCAGATTAGATTCCCAGAACTCACTTGGAGGCTTACAACTGTTTGTTAACTCCAGTTCCAGGGCATCTGACACCTTTTTCAGGCCTTTGTGGGAGCAAGACATGCACATACTTTACAAATATACATGCAGGAAAATACTCATACCCATAAAGAAAAAATATATTAAAAAGTAGCTTTTCACTCAGGTTTTGTTTCTGAGCTTAGCCTTTGGATAACTAGCAAATTTTTGAAGCATTTTAGGGGCTCAATCCTGGTGTAGGCTTCTGTTGTGCAGAACATACAGAGACCATTGTTACAATACATGCCCTAGTGTTGAGCACATTCTCAGATAAATATATTTTTCTGTTATATTCAAGGAAATAAACAAAACTTCAGATCATTGTATTATGTGAAATAAGGCAGTCTCACAAAGATAAACACTACACGTTTTCACATACAGAATCTGGTGGAGAAATTCATAAACCCAACGGGCAGACTCTTAGCCACGTGTAAGAAATGGAGGTTGGATAGTGATGCAGAAGGGAGCTATGGGAAAATTTAATAAAAGTTATGTTTGTGAATGTGTGAAAATGTCATAACACAATATATGATGTGTATCTGCCAATAAGACCTCATTAAGCTTCAATAAATTAATAACAAAAGCCAAATTGGACTAAATAGACTAAATGTATGATGTTTTCTATCATATTTCAAATATGTCATATATCATTACCAAAACATAGCATCCTTGCTACCTGGTAGTACATCTATAATTTAACAAAATGTGACATATGGGAGGTAATAGATGGGTAAATTTACATGTATAAATGCTGATGAGCAGGCGCTCCAGTGTTCAAAGTAACATTAGAAATTTATTTTTTAGTACATTGCATATGCTGTATGAGATTTAACTCTGATGAAAGTGTAGACAGTTTAGGTGGAAACAAAAGAACAAAAGTGCTGGGGAGATGGCTCAGTGGTTAGAAGCGCTGATTTCAGTTCAGTTTGCAGCACCCACATGGCTGCAAACAAGTATCTGTAACTCCAGCTCAAGGGGATCTGGACTTTGAGGCACTACACACATGTGCTGCACAGATATACATGCAAGCAAAACCTCGAGATACATAAAAATAAATTTTATACAAAATAAAGGAAATGGCCAGGTGATAGCAGTGCATGCCTTTAATTCCAGCACTTGGGAGGCAGAGCCAGGCGGATCTCTGAGTTTGAGGCCAGCATGTTCTACAGAATGACTTCTAGGACAGCCAGGGCTCACAGAGTAGTCCTCTCTCAAACAAACAAACAAACAAAGAAACAAACAAACAAAATAAAGGAAATGAATTTTGGAGCATGATGCGTTGGGGTTAATAAGGGCCAGTTGGTGGGATGTTGTGGTAGGTGCAAATGATTCAAATATATTGTATAAATGTATGAGAATTTCAAATAATGAATAAAAATAGTAGTAAAAATGTTTTTCAACTCAGCAAAAGAAATGTCACCTTAAATAAATAATATCACACACACAAAACTGATAACTGAACAGGATTATTTGTAAAAGAAATCCCATGTCCTTTGAAAATTCAAATTGTATCATTTCTCTTTTTAAAATTAAATATTTTTATTTATTTTATTTTTATTATTTTTTCACAGCCTCGGGAACGGCCTTGGATGGGGTCGAGGAGTCCGAGGGAGCCAGGAAAAAGGAACCGTATCCCTCCCGACAGGCTCCCCACCGGCCCACCGTCCCCCCGACCCGGGGACGGAAGGGCGACCCCCCCGGGGGTCTTTAAACCTACGCGCCGGAGCGCGACGATCTAGGTACCCGGACAGGGTCGGGGCGGACACACGCGCGACGTCGGGACGGGACGCCCCCACCCCGCCGGCCGCACGACATCCGCTCCACAGAAGCCGGAGCGGCGGCGGAGGCGCCGGGAGAGCGCCCGACTCGCCCGACCGTCCACGTTCCGCCCCCGCTGCGGGAGAGGGAAGAGCCGGTCGGGAAAGAGGACGCCCGCGGGCTGCGGGGCGGCGGGGCGGCGGCGAGAGAGGGGCGGGAGAGGACCGGGGAGAAGGGCAACGTCCGGCTCCCACGTCCTCCAGGGCAGAGAGCCACCGGCCGTGGCTCAGCGCCGCCTGACGCACGCACCCGCGACCCGGGACGCGCCTCCCGGCAAATGTTTTTATTTTTGAGATTATAAAATAATGATGTCATTTCCCCTTTCCCTTTCATCCTCTATGTCTTCCCGTGAACCCCCCCCTTTTTTCCCTCTTTCAAATTCATGGCCTCTTTTCTTTAATTGTTGTTACATTATTCTTGTAATATATGTATGTAACTCCTAGGTATATAACCATAATCTGCTCACTCTGTGTAATGTCACTTGCACGGGTGTTTTCAGGGCTGACCATTTGGTACTCGTGTGCTCTTCTCTGGGGAAGATTATTCTTCTTGCTCTCAGCTTTCCTTGCCTTCCCATGTCTTTAGTTACAGAAAATTTAAGCTTGTGTAGTAGAAATGTTATTCCTTGTAATACTATATGGAATATCAAACTTAGAAAATTACAAAGTGGAAGAATCTAATGAATTTTGTATTTTGAGAATTCTTACTGTATTTGATAAAATTAACGGGCCTAAGAGCAATATCATTTAAGAGGTCTGAGTGAGACTGTTTATGTTCTTTTTTGTTTTATTTTTTGCTTTTTGAGACAGGACTGCCGTATGTAGCCCTATAATCTAGACTCTGTGTAGATCAGGCTGGTCTCAAATTCACAGAAATCTGGCCGCTTCTCCCTCTTAAGTGCCATGGTTAAAGTCACGTGCCACCCCACCCAGCCTTGGGAGCAGCGAGGAAACCTCACAGCATAATCCCCACTATTACAGGCCCGTCTCTGTCAGGCACACATGAAGCAGGCGATAAACAATAACGCTGAAAGTCATAGCTCATTGCAGGAAAGTTTTCTTTTAAAAAAGTAATTAGAAATTCTAGATAAATTATACAACTATTTCTCAATATGTTGAAAACAAAAAAAAAATCACATATTTGTAATCACATAATAAAAAGTACCATTATGAAAATAGATTACAGAGTATCTGTTATAGGAACATTTATAGATAACAGGTGAGAGTTTTGAAGATGCAAAACATTAAAAGGGAGATTAAAACTGCACTCTGAAATAGAGAATTGAATTGAAAGATGAAATCAGAGTCATAGGAAACAGTTGAGAATGAGAAAAGAATTTAAAGTCCGTTTTGTGTACAGATAACATCAGGATTAAAATGTTGGGGACTAACTGCAAAACTGCAATATACTTGTAACAAGATTATGTTACGATTACCTATGCAACGATCTTTGGAAGTTTGAGCGAAAGGGCAAATTTCTCTGAGGATTAACTTCTATAGCAAGATTTTAGAACTATAGAAAGTCGTAAGTGCCTATGCTTTCTACAGAATTGAATCATTGTTTTGAACAGATGCAAAAATAAATAACAAAAGGAGGAAAATAGTCAAAATAATATGATTTAAAGATTAGGATTGTTAAGAAAAATAAGAAAGATATGATTTAGTTACATAAAAAGAAAGATACAAGAATGAGAAATATGAAGAAAAAAAATCCAAATTCTAAGAAAGGATAGACTGGGGGAGAGGATCAGTATGAAGGTCATCATACCTCACACTCAGTCTGAGTGCTGAATGCCTTTGCTCAGGGCAGAGTGAATCCTACAGATGTGAAGTGCCTTGGAAAGGCTGCCTAAGAGGAGGCATGACTAAATAAATCAAGGACAGGATGACTGGTCTCTTCCTCCCAGTGGACACAGACCAGCTTGTCACCCATGGTGTCAATGACCTTGTTTACTGTGCATCCTTTAGATGCACCTAGAGGAAAACCTCTCCAAGAGGCCAAGTGATTCTCAGGTAACATTAGTATGCTAAGAGTGCAAAGTCTATATCTGAAGATGTGCATTTTCCCAAGATGAACTATACCAGAAAGTAAACTTGAGGATTAAGGAAGTCATTAAAAGTTTTAAGACAGTGGTGGGAATTATCACAGCTGGTGTAACAAAGGTTGAGTAGTGAACAGGGCCACAGAGAACATTTGTGCTGGTCCACTGGAGACCATTGTGCCTTCTGCTCTTATGTTGTATTTTCAGGTTCCATAGAAGACATGACACCATTGTCTTCCTCTGTGGCCTGGCAAGGCTGCTCCCCACTCAGGGGAGGTGATCAAAGAGCCAGCCACTGAGTTCATGTCAGAGACTCAGAGGAAGACAATACCGCCAGTCCTGATGAGACCTGATAGGCTAGGGTCAGAGGGAAGGGGAGGAGGACCTCCCCTATCAGTGGACTTGGGGAGGGGCATGGGATGAGATAAGGGAGGGTAGGATTGGGAGGGGACAAGGGAAGGGCTTCAGCTG